AAAAGTTTCCTCATAATCGATCTCTTCTTTCTGAGTATACCCTTTCGCAACAAGCCTAGCTTTGAAGGTTTCAACCTTCCCATCTGCTCCTCTCTTTCTTTTATAGACCCACTTGCATCCAATGGCATACACGCCACAGGGCGGTTCTACAAGATCCCAGACCTGATTGGAATCCATAGAATCCATCTCAGACTTCATCGCCTTTTGCCAAGACTCTGCGTCCCGATCTTGCAGTGCCTCATTATATGTCCATGGGTCGATTTCAAGAACGTCCGGGACTGCCTCAGAAGACTCTCCCAGACCCATGAATCGTTTCGGCTGTCGGATAACCCTCCCACTACGACGAGGTACTATCAGCTCAGGTGCATCATCAGCGATACGTGTTGCAGTACTATGTGGTGTAACATCTAGCGCACTCGGTATTGAAGTACTCACTCCTTTTACCTCCTCTAAGACATGTCTACTATTGGGCTTGTGATCTAACACATAGTCTTCTTCCAAGAACCTCGCATTCGTGCTATCGATTACTTTCTGGTCCTCGGGACTATAAAATAGACCACTTTTCGTTTCCTTTGGATATCCCACAAACAACCTTACTTCTGTTCTAGGTTCCAACTTATCAGTATCGGTTCTCAGCACATGTGCTGGACTACCGTAAATCCTGAGATGTCTTAGACTAGGCTTCCGCCCATTCCACAACTCCCAAGGTGTAGATGGTACTGATTTAGAAGGTACTCTGTTCAGAACGTAAACTGCTATTTTTAGGGCATATCCCCAAAACGAATCGGGTAACGTACTATAACTCATCATCGCCCTAACCATTTTCATAAGAGTCCTATTCCTTCGTTCTGCCACGCCATTCTGCTGGGGTGTGCCTGGCGCAGTCAGTTGGGAAGTAATCTCATTATCCTTCAATAGTCTCTAAATTCATTTGAGAGATATTCGCCACCACGGTCAGATCGTAAGGACTTGATACTTTTTCCTAACTGCTTCCCCACAACCGCCTTATACTCTAAGAATTTTTCAAAGCATTCAGACTTGCGGAGCATTAGGAAAATGTACCCATATGTTAGTCCCATTTTTGTTACTACTTTTGTGGTATTTTGTTTATCTTTCTTTTCCCACTCTAGGTTGTTTTGTGGGTTTTTCCGGTCATTTGAGTCATTTTGTGCGTTTAGTGTTATTTCTGTATTTTTCGTGTTTCTCGTATTTCTTTCTTCCTATTCTCCTGTTTCCGTGTTTCTCGGTTGGTGTTGGTTTCAGGTATTCGAAACGCTGCTCTAGGATCGTTCAGCTAGTCGTGCGGACCAACATGTGAAGGACAATGTTCGAGCTCGGGCGGAACCCGGGAGTGCACAAGATAGTTGGGGGTTTATAAGTCGACCGGGGGAGGTTAGGCGAGCCGAAACGGGACAAAAAGCGCAGATTTGTTGAGTTAGCGCCGTTAGGGGTCGCTAACGCTGCTAAGGGACCTAGCGCCGCTGCCATATACTAGCGAGCTGAAGAGAAAAGCCGTTGTTCGAGCATTAGCGCCGCTAGCTAGCAGCTAGCGCCGCTAACCCCCCTCCCCCCCCCTAGCGCCGCTAACCCCCCTCTAGCGGCGCTAGCTACTGCTTATCAGATTAGTTCGCGATTCTATTATAATTAGGAGTAGGGTTTGTTTTATTGGTGACTCTTAGTCTTATTTTAGGCGCGTTTTGCTGAGGAGAAACACCTTCTATCATTGTTTTGCTCTTTGGATTCGATTTTAGAGATTAAAAACCTCTATTATGTTGCTTTGGATTCGGATACTATTGGATTGAGTTCAGAATTTTCATTAATCGTAAGTATTTTTCTTCAATTCTTTCATTGATGATGATGTCTTGGGTTATGAATGTTTGTGTGATCAAATCCAATATGAGTAGCTAAATCCATGTGCTAGGGATAGGGGATAATTGATTAGGTTCAATTATAATTGCTTGTTCTTAATTGTTCATATCTATGCGAGTTGAGTTCAATTTAGGGTTAATAGATTGATCACCTATATAACCTAGTTAATCATTGTTTAGAATCGAAAGGGGAGACATTGGTCGATTTAGGCTCGTTTAGAATAGACTTATTCGTCAAAGTATTGTCTATGTGTTGCTGGATTTGATAGTCAATCGTATATGTTCACTCTCTTGTTACGAAGAGTTATTGCGAGTGAACCTCTAAACAAGAGACGATTCACTTCCTTTAACTGAGCAATTGATTGCCGGTAGTTGTGTAAGAACAGAAAGCAGTTGTCCCCGATTCCCTAGCTCTTTAAATTCTCAGTTAATTCGTTAATGTTCATTTCGTGCTTTATTTAATTTAAAGTTGGTAGTTGATAATTGAAACCCAAATCATTGAATTAGAGTGTTTAAGATTTTTATCTTCTTTTGTGATTGAATAATCGCACAAAATAATCCGGCTGACCTTCCTTGCGATACGACCCGGGGAACGAATCTTTCGATTCTACTCTGGTTAAAATTACTACAACAAAATGGCGCCGTTGCCGGGGAAGGTTTAGGACTTATTTTGTGCGCCTATTCATTTTATTTTCAGTGTTTCTCTTATTTTTGGTGATTTCTTGTTTTGTGTGTTTCTTTTTGTTTCGTTTTTCTTTGTCTCTTTCCTATCTATCTGGTACCCGTGACGTTTTTGTTGTTTTTGTTTATGCGTACCAGAAGTGGTCTTGTGATCATCCCGAATAATGAATCCATCCAGAGGGACCTCCAAGAACTGTTGGCTAACCTTGCCCTTGAATCTTCAGACTCAGCCAACCGAGACTCCGATAACACAAGAGACATGGCTGACGAGGAAGTAAACAAGCCACCTCGTCATCTTCTTCGTGAATTGGCTCAACCGATAATCGGGCCAGTAACTTCGTGTATCTGGCTGGGACCAGCAGCTCGAAACTATGAGCTAAAAACCATCCACTACAATCAGCTGCCGTCTTTCCCTGGTCTACCCAACGAGGACCCACTTCATTTCATTCGGGAGTTCTATAACGTCCTCCAGACTTTTCCTCTCCATGGCTTAAACGAAGACCAGTTGAAGATGAGATGTTTCCCAGAGACACTCAAAGACCGGGCCAAGGCTTGGTTGATGACACTTGCTCCCACTCCCTCATTACTTGGGAGCAAGTGTATACCAAGTTCATTGGAAAATACTACTCTCACCAGAAGACGCAAGAGTTCCGGTCTCAAATCGTCTCTTTTGCCCAACAACCGAACGAGCCACTTCATGAGGCATGGGAGCGTTTTAAAGACCTCCAGAGACAGTGCCCACATCACAATTTCCCTCCGGCCCTACTGGTGAACAGCTTCTATGACTCCCTCCATCAGAATCTTCAATACATGGTGGATAATGTAGCTGGTGGAGATATTGGGGCGAAGACGGCAGAAGAGATGATTGATATTTTTGAGGCGATGAGTTCTAACTCGTCTCAAAAGAGCAGCCGAGGGAAGAGGACTTTTGTCAATGAAGTATCTCCAGGTCGGGACATGATGGCACAACAGCTAGCTGAGCTCACGGAGCAGATGCGACTACTGAATGCGAGGGGAGGCCAACCAATGCAGACCATGGCTGTGGAGGCATGTGGAGCATGTGGAGTCCAAGGGCACAGATCTGAGGTGTGCCCCTCGGCATTCGATCCTGACTACAGTGAGCAATATGCAGACGCCAACGCTCTACAGGGATACCCGAACCGGCCAGCCAACGACCCATATTCCAACACATACAACCCGGGGTGGAGAAACCACCCAAACTTCTCTTGGTCGAACAATCAGAACACCCTCCAGCAACCCCGTCAGAACTTCACTCAACAGCAACCACGGCCCGCCTTTGCTCCTCAACAGCAAATGAGGATGAACTATCCTCAACAGCAGCAGCAACAACAAAGGGGCCCGACGGTTGGGATGCAGAACCAGGGGGCAGGACCGAGTTCGTCTAGCCAGGACGACAAGCTAGATAAAATCCTTCAATTCATCACCAACCAGGACTCATCGATCAAACGCTTGGAGACCCAAGTGGGCCAGCTGGCTACTCGGGTGGGCAATATCGAGTCTGAAGCAGACAAGGGGAAGTTGCCTAGCCAACCTAAGGAGGCCCAGGCAATCACAGTGTTGAGAAGCGGGAAAGTGGTCGATAACCGGGTAGAGATGCCGGGTCCGTCGGATCAGTCCGAGGAGCTTAAACTGACTAAGGAGGCGGAAGAGAATATCGAAAATTCCAAGGAAGCTGATTCGGAGAAACCGGCGGATGGCCCACTGTTGCACAGATCCCCAAATCCATATAAGCCACGCATACCTTTTCCGAGCCGGCTTCGGGATGAGAAGCAGGAGAAGCAATTTCGAGACCTTTACACCATGCTCTCGAAGGTCAATGTGAATTTGCCGCTGCTTGATGTGATAAAGAATATGCCATCCTACGTCAAGTTCTTCAAGGACTTGGTCACTAAGAAGAGGAGGTTCGAGGACGGAGAAAAAGTGGTGGTCTATGAGGCGGCAAGCGCAATGCAGCACGACTTGCCGAAGAAGGAACGTGATCCCGGGGGTTTCGTCATCAAAATTGCCCTCGGGAATGGGAAAGAGGCTTCGGGGATGCTAGACCTCGGAGCGGGGATCAATCTCATGCCATTCTCCATCTACCAGCGGCTCGGCCTCGGAGATTTGAGGCCAACTCGTATGTGCCTACAGCTTGCCGACCGATCAATCAGATACCCCAAGGGAATCATAGAGGATATTCTTGTTCGTGTGGGAAAGCTTATCGTCCCGGTAGACTTCGTGGTCCTAGATGTGGGGGACGTGTAGGAGAACGGGAAGGACCATACCATCCTTCTAGGCAGACCATTCATGGCCACCACCAACACCCTCATAGATGTGAAGAACGGTACGTTGAACATGACAGTCTTAGGCGAGTCCGTATCTATTTCTGTTCGAGAGGCCACTTCCGCATCTTCCGTGAACTTTATGGAGGAGTGTGCCTTTATCAATGTGATGGACCCGTTCGTTGAGGAGATGACGGTACGGGAGTTTGAAGAAAGGTTGATGCCCGATTTCAAAGATGACGAAGGGCCAACGGTTGAGCTCTATGAAGTCGAGGAATCCCGTGCAACAATTCCATCTCCACTAGAGCTTAAGGAGCTCCCCCGACACCTCAAGTACGTTTTCCTTGATGATGAGAAGAAAAAGCCGGTGATCATCTTTGCCGAGCTAAACCGAGACGAGGAACGAGAGCTTCTTGACGTGCTTAAGAGGAATCAAAAGGCCATTGGGTGGAGTCTCAGAGATATCAAGAGAATTAGTCCCGCCACATGCATGCACCGGATAATCTTAGAAGAAGGGGCCAAGCCGTTCCGCGATAGCCAACGACGACTCAACCCGAACATGATGGAGGTCGTGAAGAAGGAGGTATTGAAGCTCTATTCCGAGGGGCTTATATACCCGGTGGCGGATAGCGAGTGGGTCAGTCCCATTCACGTGGTGCCGAAGAAAGGAGGGATAACCGTGATCGAGAACGAGAAAAAGGAGATGGTCCCCACCCGTATCACTACCGGGTGGCGAATGTGTATAGACTACCGGCGACTCAATGCCGTGACAAAGAAGGACCACTTCCCATTGCCCTTCATTGATCAAATCTTGGACCGTCTCTCAGGCCATCAGTACTATTGCTTCCTTGACGGACTATCGGGCTACTATCAAGTGGCCATCGCCCCGGAGGATCAGCCCAAGACGACTTTCACGTGCCCATTCGGCACCTTTGCTTTCAGACGCATGCCGTTCGGCCTTTGCAACGCACCCGGGACTTTTCAGAGGTGCATGTTCTCCATCTTCTCCGACATGCTCGAGGATTGCTTACAGGTATTTATGGATGACTTCTCTATATTTGGCACTTCATTTTCTAATTATCTCCATAATTTATCTCGTGTCCTTGAGAGATGTATTGAATGTAATTTGACTTTGAGTTGGGAGAAGAGTCATTTTATGGTACAAAGTGGCGTCGTTTTAGGTCATGTAGTGTCTAGTCGGGGGATTGAAGTTGATAAGGCAAAGATTGATGTGATTGAGAATCTTCCCCCGCCTGTTAATGTGAAAGGAGTTAGGAGTTTTTTGGGTCATGCTGGCTTTTATAGGAGGTTTATAAAAGATTTTTTGAAAATTAGCCAGCCTCTTTGTAAATTGCTTGCTAATGATGTGCCTTTTGTGTTCGATGATGCATGTTTAGATGCTTTTGAAAAACTGAAACATAAGCTTGTGACTGCTCCTATTGTTGTTGCTCCTGATTGGTCGTCGCCATTTGAGATTATGTGTGATGCTTAGAACCTTGCTGTGGGCGCCGTTTTGGGTTAACGAGTTGATAAATTACTTCGTGTGATTTATTATGCTAGTTTGACCCTTAATGGAGCTCAACTTAATTACACGACCATCGAAAAAGAGCTCTTAGCCGTAGTGTTTTCTCTTGAAAAATTTAGATCATACATCTTAGGATCTAAAGTGATTATTCATTCTGATCATGCTGCTTTGAGATATCTTTTGAGCAAGACTCAATCCAAACCACGGCTCATTTGGTGGATTTTACTTTTGCAAGAGTTCGATGTAGAAATTCGTGATAGGAAAGGGTCGGAAAATGTGGTAGCTGACCATTTGTCTCGTATCATCCCGTCTGATATTTCACCTCATTTGCTTGATAATAATATTGATGATAGTTTTCCGTACGAGCATGTGAGTGAGGTTTCTAGTGTTCCTTGGTATGCGGATATCGTTAATTATTTGTCAGATGGTGTTTTGTTGTCTAACCTCTCTTCCCAAGAGAGGAAACGCTTTGTGTTGATGTGTATGAGTTACTTTTGGGATGACCCGTTGCTTTTCAAACTGGGAAAAGACGAGATCCTTCGGAGGTGTGTGCCTGAAGAAGAGCAGCTGGATGTCCTTGCCTTTTGCCACGAGTTTCAATGTGGAGGCCATTTTGGAGGCCGAAAGACGGCTCTCAAGGTTGTCCAATCAGGTTTGTTTTGGCCAACTCTCTTTAAGGATGCTCATAATTTTTGCAAGTCTTGTGATCGTTGCCAAAGAATGGGAAACATTGGTCGTAGAAATGAAATGCCCCTTGAGAACAATTTACAAGTCGAAATTTTTGATGTTTGGGGCATTGATTTTATGGGACCGTTTCCCAAATCTTGTGGCTTTGAATATATTTTACTTGCCGTAGATTACGTGTCCAAGTGGGTCGAGGCTATCCCCACAAGGACATGTGATGCTAATGTGGTTATCAAGTTTTTGCAAGGATATATATTGAGCAGGTTCGGATTTCCACGGGCCATTGTGAGTGATGGAGGCAAGCATTTTTGCAACCGGATTTTCGAGAAGTTGATGAAAAAGTATGGCATTTCACATAAAGTGGCCACCCCGTATCATCCACAAACATCGGGCCAAGCCGAGACGAGTAACAAGCAGATCAAGTCCATTTTAGAAAAGACACTGAACTCTTCCCGAAAGGATTGGTCCAGTCGACTCGATGATGCTCTATGGGCTCAACGTACAGCTTACAAGGGATCTTGGGGATGAGCCCGTTCCGACTCGTGTACGGAAAAGTGTGCCATTTGCCGGTTGAGATTGAACACAAGGCATTTTGGGCGATTAAGAAGATGAATTTTGATCTAGATGCCGCCGGGAAAGAGAGGCTGTTGCAACTCTCGGAATTGGAGGAATGGAGACACGAGGCCTATGAGAACTCTAAAATCTACAAGGACAAAGTCAAGAAGCTTCACGACGCTAATATTGTTCGAAAGAATCTCGTGCCCGGTATGAAGGTGCTTTTATATAACTCCCGACTTCGTCTTTTTCCGGGAAAACTCAAGTCCCGGTGGAGTGGGCCATACATTGTTGACGAAGTTTTGACTCTTGGAGCTGTCCAACTTCGAAACCCGGCTAATGGTGAGTTATTTGTGGTGAATGGACAACGAGTGAAGCCGTATTTCGATGGAGAATTCGAAAAAAGCCATGTCGAGACGATCAGTCTCGGCGACCCAGCGTACGTCTGAGCAAGAAAGTGCCAAGCTCGAGGCATTAAATCGAGCAACCTTGTACCTGATGTATTTTATTATTCATAAAAAAAAAAGGGTCGAAATCAGTTACTAGCGCCGCTAGACCCTAGCTAGCGGCGCTAAGGTGTTGTTAGCGCCGCTAAGGGTGAGTTAGCGGCGCTAGTTAGAGAACTGCGAAAAACGCCCCAGGTCGCTAGGCCTCTTAGCGCCGCTAGTCGCACCTAGCGCCGCTAGGGGGGGTGCTAGCGGCGCTAACCCCTGAGCAGATAAAAAGATCGGGCATTTATACGACAATTGGGCTCACAATTTCTAATCACCTCCCCCACGCATCTCTCTCTCAATTTCTCTCACGCGCACCTCCGACCCCTGCCTAGTCAACTCCGACGACCGACGACTCCAGTCCGGCGAGGCCATCTCCGTTTGCTTCACCTCCTTCCACTCCTCCTTTTGGGTTAATTAAGGTCGTCCGAACCCTAGCTCGTGGGGTGTTCGAATTCCGGCTAAATTCTCGGGTTCAAGGTACAATAGCTTCCCCTAATTCTGATATTGTTGATTGTTGAGGCAAGAGGAGGCCTACTCCAGGTCGTAGCATCATCAACTTCTTCAAACTCCTCCAATAGTCTTTTGTGCATGCCAAGTGTTTGATAAATTGCCTCAGAGAAGGTACAATGCCGAGAACGAGGGGCAACACATCGAAGAACACCCGTTCGACGTCAGGAGCTGGGGCCAAGGCCTCATCGAGTATTGCCAACCCTCCTACGGCTCCTGCCGAGCCCTGTTTGTCCCAACAATACAGCGTTCCTTTTCACGTCGTTTCTGCTCAGGAGGTGGAGGACTACAAGCGGCTCCTCTCGAAGCCGCTCACCGCTCCCCGAGACCTCGATTGGGGCATACTCGACGACCTTCTCATCTCAGAGGATGTCAAGCGATACCTGGAGCTGCTCGTTCTCACGGTATTCGAGAATATTGCTCTGGAGACCTTTCCGAAGCTCACCCTCGAATTTTTTAGCACGGTGGCCATGCACGATAATGGGAAGTACCTTACTGCTCTCGCGTCCGAGTTTATTACCGAGAGGGACCTTTCCAGTGTCGGGTTTATCTATGACCGTTTTTACATTCGGCCGGTGCACGAGAGGAAGAGCTATAAGAATTATCTGGAGGACCTACAGAAGAGGGGTCCTGCTTCCGAGCCTTCCCACACTGCCGTCGGTCCATCAGGCGCGGGTACCGACGGGCAGCCGGATCATGGGGCATCTCAGCCGCCTCCTGCGACCGATGGACCCTCCGAGGCATTCTCTGAGCACGTTCCGGCTTGGTTCACCGAGTTCCAAACTCGGAATGACGAGCACCTGCGGTCCATTCAGGCGGACATGATGATGTACAATGCGAACCAGGAGGCTCGGTGGAAGGCGCATGACGATGAGTGGCGGTCGTACACTACCACCAACGATGCTCGTTGGACGGCGTTGAACGCGGCTATCACGAGAAACGACGATCTTCTGACGGCTCACGATAGCCGATGGGACGCCTGGGAGGACAAGCAGTATCAGCAGCACGACCAATGGAACACCCAGTTCGGCCAATGGGACACCCAGTTCAGCCAATGGGACACCCGTTGGAGTTCCGGGAGCACCTACCCTCCACCATCACCACGGGACGCACAGTGACTTGTCACTGTGCTTTGTACGTTTTTCTTTTCTCTTCTCTTTTGTTTTGTGTTTAGTTTATTTTGCTTTGCGTCGGTTAATTGTGTGGTTTGACTCTTTCACACTTGAAGTCGATAATGGGGACATTGTCTGGTTTTCAGTGTGGGGGAGTTTTTACATTCCTATGTGACTATGTGGTGGTCCGGTCTAGTTTTTAGGTTTCTGTGTGTTTTCAGAGTCTGGACATTGGTGTATTGCAAGATTTTTTTTTATAATCGTTGGTTTAATTGAGAAGATGTGATGATGAGCACGAGTAATATATCTTTAATTGATTGGCTTCGTTGTGTTGAGGAAAATATTTACCTTGTGAGGTTTGAGCCTTATTGTTTCTTGTGTGATATTGATCTGAATCTTGTTAATTAGAATTTGCCTTGAGACTGCTTTGAAATAATTGGATTAGATTGATGTGACGTGAATATGATTGAGGCATTTTCTTGTACTCTCTTTTCCTTTTTCTTTGTCGAGAATAATAATCACTAGTCATCCCCTTTGAGCCTTAATTGAATTTTCTTGTTAACCTCGTGATGAAGATATTGAGTTGCGGGTTGGGAGTTGGAGGTGACGATTGATTGCTGTGTAAATATTCATGTTTGATTCGATTTGAAAAAAAAAAAACAAAACAAAAAAAAGGGGGGGAAACCGAATGGATTCTACTCCAAGAGCTCCGTCCACTAATGTAGTGGATATGGGCTATGAGTACGGGAAACCGGTCTAGGAGACTCGGGCAGAAAACCCGAAGGTTAAACCTAGATAATAATGTCCAATAGGTTTTCGCAAAAAAAAAAAAAATGTGTGTTGTTTGGGAAGTACGTGTTCTTGGAGTTGTGGAAGAAACCGGTTGGTAACAACCGGATGAGTTATTGTCATGGTGAAGTGATGGATTAGATTGTACATATTGAGCCACTTATCCTACCCTGTCCAAAGAGCCTACGTTACATCCCTACAAGTCCTCTTGATTCGCTGTCCCATTTATTTGATTGTTTTAGAGTAAAAGTTAGACGATAGGCAAATTTATGATTAACATGACTGATGACCAAATTTGAGTGCACCTATCTTATATTTTGCGAAAGAAACTGAGTGAGGCATATACATTTGCATACTCGAGAGTCTTTGTTCCTCAATATGGCCGGGTTAATTATTGAAGTGTATTCTTGTGTTCATTGGAATTCTTCTCAGTTCGATTGATTGGTTTGAGATTGGTCTTGCGTGAACTATATTGTCCTTACTCACTTATTTGTTTTCTTTTCTTTCCTTTTTTTTTTGTGTTGTTCGGGACGAACAAAGGTCTTAGTGTGGGGGAGTTGTTAGTCCCATTTTTGTTACTACTTTTGTGGTATTTTGTTTATCTTTCTTTTCCCACTCTAGGTTGTTTTGTAGGTTTTTCCGGTCATTTGAGTCATTTTGTGCGTTTAGTGTTATTTCTGTATTTTTCGTGTTTCTCGTATTTCTATCTTCCTATTCTCCTGTTTCCGTGTTTTCTCGGTTGGTGTTGGTTTCAGGTATTCGAAACGCTGCTCTAGGATCGTTCAGCTAGTCGTGCGGACCAACATGTGAAGGACAATGTTCGAGCTCGGGCGGAACCCGGGAGTGCACAAGACAGTTGGGGGCTTATAAGTCGACCGGGGGAGGTTAGGCGAGCCGAAACGGGACAAAAAGCGCAGATTTGTTGAGTTAGCGCCGTTAGGGGTCGCTAACGCCGCTAAGGGACCTAGCGCCGCTGCCATATACTAGCGAGCTGAAGAGAAAAGCCGCTGTTCGAGCATTAGCGCCGCTAACCCCCCCAGCGCCGCTAACCCCTCCCCCCTAGCGCCGCTAACCCCCCTCTAGCGGCACTAGCTACTGCTTATCAGATTAGTTCACGATTCTATTATAATTAGGAGTAGGGTTTGTTTTATTGGTGACTCTTAGACTTATTTTAGGCGCGTTTTGCTGAGGAGAAACACCTTCTATCATTGTTTTGCTCTTTGACTCTTAGACTTGTTCGTCAAAGTATTGTCTATGTGTTGCTGGATTTGATAGTCAATCGTATATGTTCACTCTCTTGTTACGAAGAGTTATTGAGAGTGAACCTCTAAACAAGAGACGATTCACTTCCTTTAACCGAGCAATTGATTGCCGGTAGTTGTGTAAGAACCGAAAGCAGTTGTCCCCGATTCCCTAGCTCTTTAAATTCTCAGTTAATTCGTTACTGTTCATTTCGTGCTTTATTTAATTTAAAGTTGGTAGTTGATAATTGAAACCCAAATCATTGAATTAGAGTGTTTAGGATTTTTATCTTCTTTTGTGATTGAATAATCGAACAAAATAATCCGGATGACTTTCCTTGCGATACGACCCGGGGAACGAATCTTTCGATTCTACTCCGGTTAAAATTACTACAACACCATATTTCGAGTAGTCATCGATAAACATAACGAAGTACTCGAAACCTCCTCTCACTTGAATAGACATAGGACCACATAGATCGAAATGAATTAGCCCTAACAGATCTTCGGCTCTATTCCCCTTTGATTTAAAAACCCTGTTAGTCATTTTACCTTCCAGGCAAGATTCACAAGTTGGAAAAGCCTCGACTTCTAACGACCCCAAGGGCCCGTCTGCTACCAACCTTTGAATCCTCCTCAGGTTTATATGACTAAGTCTTAGATGCCAAAGATATGCTTCATTCATTTTCGAAGGTTCATTTCTCTTGTTTAGATTAGAAGATGAATTAAGTAATTGTTTATGTTGCAGTGGAGATGACTTTTGTTCTAAAACATACAGATTGTCTACTAATGAACCAGAACATATGAACTTTTTTCCAAAACGAATAACAACTTTATTATCGAAAATAGCAGAAAAACCATTCATAAATAACTTAGAAACTGAAATCTAATTCTTTCTAAGACTAGGAACATAAAGACAATCATTTAAAATCAAAGTCCTATCTAAACCAAAATCTAAATAGACGTCTCCCACTGCAACTGCTGACGCTCTACTAGCATCGCCCAAGTAGATGGTAACTTCTCCTTCCCTAAACCGTTTGGTTTCCTGGAACCCCTGCATGGAATTGTAGGCATGATCAGTGGCTCCTGTATCTACACACCAGGTACTGGTAGATAACACCGCTAAACATGTTTCAACGACTAATGAAAAAGATGTACCTTTATCGCCCTTCTTGAGGAGAGGGCAGTAGGCCTTCCAGTGTCCCTTCTGCTGGCACTTGTGGCACTTGCCTTTCGGCTTCTTTGTAGTTTGCTGAGGTCGCGCATCATTCATGACCGCTTTGCCCTTTCCTGCGGACTTCTTCCTCATTCTACCCTTAGAAGGCCTGGAAGAAGAACCTTCAGCCCGCTGGGCAACCATCGCCTAGGCTTTGTGACGAAACAGGCCTTCTGTCGACTGAAGCTCAGCAACAAGTTCGGGAAGACTCATCAACATCTTATGCATGTTGTAATTCAACCGGAATTGTTCGAAGCTCTTTGGCAAAGACTGGAGCACTATATCGACCTGGGTTTCCCCATCAATAAAAGCCCCAAGGACCTCTAGCTCATTTAGCTGGGCCATCATAGCAAGAACATGTTCCCTTACGGGAAAACCCTCATGGCTTCTTTTCGGGCAGCCCGCGACTGATGACCAATAATTCCTTGAGACTAAAAAGCATATCCGCTGTAGTGGCCATAGATTGATGCTGATGTTGAAGTACATTTGACAAGGATGCCAAGATGTAACACCTCGTCATCTCATCAGCCTTTTTCCACCAAGCATACGCCTCTTTCTCATTATCCGGCGCATTATCAGCAGGCACATTCGGACAAGCCTCAACAGTAGCAAATTTGTACCCTTCAGCAGTTAACACTATATCCAAGTTCCTATTCCAGTCAATGTAATTGGGACCAACAAGTTTGTTTTCATTGAGAATTACGGATAACGGATTAAAAGCATTTTGAATTCCTGGGATCACGTAAACATAGGTTTTACTTAGTCAAGTGATTTTAGAATTTAACATCAAATGTTGATCCCTTAACAACAATATTGAAATAAATTCAACGGCACCTCTAAACACCGAATCCCCGCAAGCCACGGAGTGTGGACGTCTACGGTTCAAACCATCGCAAGAGGAGGGATTAATCCCATTAATTAACATACCGACAAATCGGTACTTAATTAATAGCCGTTTCATCTTTTGGCCAGCACATAATAAAAACAACCTTTTCCTGTGGGAATATCATTTTAATTTCCACTTTAAGTGTAACCCATTAATTGGTACCAAGTTCACTACCAAAATCATACGTTCATCTGTGGATGATCCGTACTCTTTTTGTAATAGCTCGCTATTACCATCCTGAAGGAAATTTGTCCTTGTGAACTGTGAGATAAACCGTACTGTAGGATCGATCTAAACCACTTCACTAACAAACCTATAAGGGAGGCTTTGGATGTAATTATTTCAACCCATTACACACTTAATATAATTTTTATTTTAAGGGATTTTCCTAGACATGCTCCTATTTCAATTTGCACATTAAGAAAATAAGGACATGCATAATTAATAAGCAATAATAAACTAGGAACTATAATCCAACTATTATGGCCATTAATTAATCTCCAATATTACGGAGAAACACAATTCTATCCTTGTTTGAATGTGTTTTCCATTTCAGGAATTGGAACACCCCTTTCGCAGTGACTCCCACTCTTCATCTTGAATAGGCTGTCTCCAGGAAAGTCGCCATTGGATCATCATCATGGAATTCGTCTGTGTGTTTGTCACCTCGCCCCGTCGAGTTTGGTCCACATCCGCCGGATCAACAATGGATAACAACAATTACATAATTCATCCTATGACTCGCGCAGG